ATGCTGAGTAAAAATATATCATTTCTCATTCAAGCTACTACTGCTTTATATCTCAAAAGTCTGAGATAAAGTCAAGAGTAGTGATCTATGAAAGAAAGAGATCAATATATCAATTTAATCTAAGATTTAATATCATATCTGACTCTGATATTCTGATAATTGATATTATAGATAAAGAGAATGAGTTTGATACTATACATCTCATAAATATCTGTAATGAGAAGTTATTGAAGAAAAATAATAACATCTGAATAATTAATAGAGGATTTCTGAACATAACTTTATCAAGAAACTCTATAATTGTAGGAGATTTCAATACACATCATCTCTGATGAAATTCAGAATGTAAAAGAGCAGTAAGAGCTGATAATCTGATTTAATAAATCTTTAAGTATTCAATAGATTTAGTTAACAAGTCTGATTAATAAACATTCTTTAGAAAAGATATGAAACAGAAATCTATTATAGATCTAATCTTCATATCACAAAATTTAATGAAAAAAAGACTTGTAAACTGATTTATTAATTTAAATGAGACATCAGGATCAGATCATGAGATTATTCAATTTGATATTAAACTGAGTGAAGAATAAATGAGTGAAAACTCTCTTCTCTTTAATCAGTTTAACTTTGAAAAAGCTGACTGAAAGATAGTTGAAGAAAGCATAAAACTGTTAAAATCTGAAAGACAGAGTGAGCTATATTGAAATTCTGATCAAGATATCTCAAATGAAATGCTTAAGAATAGAGTGAAGCTCATTACATCTATTATTCTAGTAAGTGTTAAAGATAATATTTCAAAGAGAAAGTCTTCTGAGTATTTAAAATCTTGATAAAATAAGAATATTACATCTAAATGAAAACAATTGACTACTGCTAGAAGAGATTGAAAGAATGATATAATTTCTGATAAAGAGTTCAAAGCTGTCAGAAATGAATATTTTTCAGATATTAAAGAAGCTAAAACAGACTGCTGAAATAAATTTCTTGAAGAAGTATAAGAAAAGAAACTTTTTAAAGCTTTTAACTATACTAAAATAAGAAGTGTAGTAAAACTTCCAACTGTAGAATATAAGTTTCAGAATGAATTATATACAGCAAACTCTTTTGAGAAAAAATATCAAGCTTTTATAAGAACTCTCTTTCAAAACTCATCAGATTCAGATTCAGAGAAAGAGAATATATCACTTCTCAACTATATTAATGAAAATGACTGGAAATAGTCTGATCTTACTCAAGATGAATTAGAGTTAGTTATCTTCTCAAGTTCAGTTAAAACTGCTGCAGGGCCTGATTCAATTAATCACTTAATTATTCAAAATACATACTTCTACTTAGAGAATGAATATTTTGAGCTCTTTTTCAATCTCTTGAAAAATGAATATCATTCTGAATACTGGAGAGAAGTCACTGAAGTGATTCTTATAAAATCTAATAAAAAACTTCAATTTCTAAGTTATATAGAGTAATATCTCTATTGAACTGTCTAGAAAAGGTTTTAGAAAAGATAATAGCTACTTAACTATCTTTTATAAGCTCTATCAGTAATTCTCTTTTATTCAGTGAATAAATGAGAGATAGAAAACAGTGTTCTGTAATTGACACTGTTTCTCTCAGTTGTTCATAATATTTAAATAGCAAAGTATGAAGATCTGGTCTCAACTGCAGTTTTTATTGATATAAAAGAAGTATTTGATTATATTTCAAAGTCAAAGTTAATTCAGATATTGAAGATGTTAAAACTGTCACTTTCTCTAATAAAATGAGTTAACTGTTTTATGTTTAAAAGAATTATATAACTTTTCTTTGATGGAATGAAATAAGATAAGACTGAGATAAAAATAGAAGTATCACAAGAATCTTCAATCTCACTTATTTTATTTATAATATACACTGCATATCTATTCAAAAATAGAAATATGATAATAGTGTGATCTCTGAGTTATATAAATGATATTGATCTAGTCTACAGTGTAAAAACAATCAAAGAGAATTTAAAAGTGATTGAAGAAGCTGTAAAGGAAATCTTTATTAGATCAGATATCAATTAAATTCAATTTAATATGAATAATACTGAGTTAATTCATTTCTTTTCTAGATTCAATGAGAAAGAACTATCTCTAACACTTTTAAATAAAGAGATTAAACTCAGTGTAAATGTTAAATAATTAGAAGTATGATCAAACTCTAAGTTGAATTTTAAATATCACATTCAACAAAGAACTATCAAGACAGAAAGACTATTGAACAACATAATCAGACTATTAAATACAGAGAGAGATCTGTTCTTCCAAGCTATGAAACAGTTATATATAGCCTGTATTACATCAGTAGCTGATTATGAAGTTTAAGTTGAATGAAATAATCAAGAGAATTTCACTGAACTCTTTCAAAGTCTGTAAAACAGAGTCTTGAGAAGAATTCTGAGAGCATTTAAATCCTCTTCTATTAAAGCAATGAAAATTGAAGCTTCAATTCCTTCTTCTACTATTAGATTTGAAAAGACCTGTATGAACTATGCTCTGAGAGTTATAAAGATAAGCTTAAGTTATATAATCAGAGAAAGAGTCTCTTCTTCATTTTCATCAATTAACTCTGAAAATGAACTGAATTGAAATAGATTTCTTGATTGAAATGAAAATAATTCTTCAAAGAAAATATCTTCTCAACTGTACAGACTATGCTCTCTGATTAAAAATCAATTTTCTTTTTTAAATGTTGAAAAAGTTGATTATGAGAAGTTATCTCTCTGAAGAGAAAAGCTTGAATCTCTTATAGACTTACAAATAAGTGAACTATCTAAAGAGAAAGAATATGAACAGTATTTGAAGAGAATTTCTACAATCAATATAAAAGACTCTATTCTGATTTATTCAGATGACTCAAAAAATGAGAATTTGAATAGATTAGGTGCAGGCATTGCTTATTTTAAAGATAATATCAATTTTATCTCAGATTTCTGGAATTTAGGCTGTGAATCTGAAGTCATTGATGCTGAACTATTTGCAATAGTTAAAGCTTTCAAACTCATTGAAATAAAATCTCATAAAAGAGGAAATAGTTTGAAAGAGACATGAATATTCTTTGATAGTTAAGCTGCTTTAAAAAGACTTAGAAATAGTCAGATTTATAATGATTAAATGAATCTTGAACTGATCTTAAACTCTGTTTTGAAAATTCAAAAGAGAAGAATATCAAAGCTAATAATTCATCTTCACTGAGTTTCTGCTTCTATGAATATTCATGATAATGAATTGGCTAATTCAGCTGCAAAAAAGAGT